AGGTCTTGCCTGATAATTCTATTTAAAATGTGGTGGGATAATGTCTATGAAGTATTAATGGATTATCTTTCTTTGACACTTTCTCATCTTTTAGTACTTCCCCTCCTTCATTGCCTCAGGGAAGGGTTGTTACAGAAGAAAGCAGATTTAAAAAGAGTCTCTTCCTAGCTTTTGAGTTTCAAAACCTAGGCCCTGAGGGAAACTGAAAAGACTCAGGGCAATTTTTTTTAAAAAAAGAAGAAAAGATAGGATAAGAGCCAGGATTCAGGCCTGAAGGGTAAAAGAAGTGTCAAGGTGACCCGAGGTGGGGTCCTGGAGAAAAGGGCATCTTGGCTTCCTCACTCCATCCCTCAGGTTGAGTTGGGACCCTAGGGAATCTGCAGAAACCCTGGCTAGTTTTAGGAGATCCAAGAACACAGATAATGTCCTGCAGGTAGCAAGACCCAGGAGAACTGTTATCTTAGACAGCTTCACCTACATGTCAGTGTGGTGCAGAAAGCATGGGATCACTTCTATGTATCCAAGAGGGCACGGAAATGAAGAATGACCCTAACACCCTTCCAAGGCTTCCACTGCCCCGTGTGTCATAGGAGCACCTGACTGAGAAGCAGAACAATCGCTGCATTCCCAAGAGGAGGAGCCTGAACCTAAAGGAGCTTAATGAATGAGCTTGAGAGGTGACCTGAGGACAGTGCGAGTGGAACATGGCTGAGGACCCAATGAGGCAATAGTAGTCCCAGAGGATGTCAGCTTGGCCAGATGACACCAAAGACCTAACGTCCAGGCCCAACTTTGAACCCTGGCTCTCCTAGAACATAGATACGATCATGGGAAAAATGAAAGGAAGACCCCAATTTAATTGAAATTGTGTTCCTGACATCCAAGAGGAAGGCTCAAAACAGAACTTAAGTTGAGCTACAGAAAAATTTGTATTTCTTCTGCATCTGTTTGTAGATGAGATTTGAACCCAGTACACAGAAACAAGGACATGCAGGATGACAGAATTATAGTGCCATCTACTGAGAAAGAACATGGCGGAAAGAATGTCCACCAGAACAGCTTAGAATCCAGACTCCTCCGCTCACTCAGGGAATTCAAAAAGCCCCCCTGTGCTTCCACTTGTTTTAAAGCCACATTAATACACTTACCAAATCCTTCCAATTCCATTTCCTCGACACTCCCCCCTTCCTTTCATCTCCACTGGGCCACTGGCTTAGCCCCAGCCCTTCTCATTCCTCTTTTGCGCTAGTATATTATTAATAAGAAGAACAACAACAACAGGTTAACATTTATTTGGGACTCATCATGTGGGAGATATTGTAGTCGCATTTGTTGCATTCTATTAACTCTTTCAATTGTGACATCAATCCTAAAAGGTAGGTACTATTTTTATTTTCCTCTCACAGATGAGAAAACTGAGTCACAAAAAAGTTAAACCGTCCATGACCATATGCCAGAAAGTGGTAAAGCCAGAAAACCTGGGCTCGGCTATGCATCTCTGGAATTCATACATTAAACCGCTGTACTCTACTGTCTCTTTGTAGTTTCCTGACTCTCTCTACATCCTAGGCCGCTCCCCTCCACGCTATTACCTAAATAATCCTTCTAAGCCATAAGTCTGAACAGAGTACACCTTTCATAAAATCCTTCAATGGCTCCCCATCACTTTTAGCCTAAAATTTAAACTTCTTGGAAAAGTGTAAAAGAGCAGGTATGATTCAGCTCCTGCCTACTTGTTCAGTCCTATTCCATAGGCATATTTCCCTGGCAGTATAAAACTAGTGGCAGTTATTTCCCTGCCCCAAATAAATGGGTAGGACACTACACAACACAACACAACACAACACAACACAACACAACACAACACACACACAGACACACACACACACTCACTCTCTCTCTCTCTCTCTTCCTCTCTCATTCATCCTGATTCCCACTCATTACTTTTAAGAGTCCACTTGATATTCATCCTGGTTTTGGAAGCAGTTTTTTCAGCACCCTATCCTAAAATATATTCTATTAAATTCTAATTAACAGCTTTCTTGTCTGATCATGGTTTTTGGGTCTGTCTTCCTCATGACACTGTGAGCATCCTAAAGTCAGGGCTATATTTGAATACTGTTTGTTTGAGGCCTGAAATATAGCAGCCACCCTGTAGAATTGACAAATAAAATAATCGATAAAAATATCTTTCATATCTTCATCTTTTTGCCTGTTTCAACAATGATTTCATCAATATCAATTGGCATCTGCTGAATGCCAGCCAGGCATTTTGATGTAGACTTTTTTTTTTTTGAGACAGAGTTTCACTTTTGTCACCCAGGCTGGAGTGCAGTGGTGCGATCTTGGCTCACTGGAATCTCTGCCTCCTGGGTTCAAGTGATTCTCCTGCCTCAGCCTCCCAAATAGGTGGGATTACTTGTGCTCAGACCACACCCAGCTATTTTTTTAATTTTTAGTAGAGATGAGGTTTCACCATGATGGCCAGGCTGATCTAGAACTCCTGACCTCAGGTGATCTGCCCGCCTCAGCCTCCCAAAATGCTGGAATTACAGGCATGAACCACCCTGCCTGGCCTTTTTTTTTTTTTTTGAAATAGGATCTCACTCTTCACCCAGGTTGCAATGTAGTGGTGCCCATAGCTCACTGTAGCCTTGACCTCCCCAGGACTCAGGTGATCCTCCCACCTCAGCCTCCCGAGTATCCAGAACTATAGGCATGTGCCACCACACCCAGGTAATTTTTGTATTTTTTGTAGAGATGGGGTTTTATCATATTGCCCAGGCTGGTCTCACATTACTGGGCTCAAGCGATCTGCTTACCTCAGTTTCCTAAAGTGCTGGGATTACAGGCGTGAGCCGCTATGCCCAGCCTATATAGACTTTTAAATGCAGTTCTCCTAGCAATATTGTAAGATATACATTATCATTCCAGTATTAAAGATAAAGAAAACTAAAGCTGAGAGTGCATGAGAATGAAACAAGATAATAAATTATCTTGCAGGATTTTTTGAAAATTAAAAATATAAATAAGTACAAGTACTGAATCCCAAACATAGCAATAACTAAATAATCAGTGACCCTTACAATTATTGATCAGTGATAAGTGCCAGGGCTTATTAGTGTCTCTTAACTACATGTCAGTGCCGGTCCAGATACACCACAGCTGCTCATAACTTTAAATCAATGACTTGTCTTTTTTTCCTAGAAGAAGACAATTACCTTCTTTCTTCAATGTTCATCCTAATCCTTGGTGCCATCCCTCGATTCCCACAAAGTCCATGCTTCTAATTTCTGGAGGTCATTTCACAAAATGAGATATAACTCCCCTCTGGGACTTCCTGACCCCACTTTGGGGAATACATTCTTACATTTTTCCCAGCATTAAAAGAATTTCCTTCCTGGCCTTAAGGAACTGAATGCTGCCCGCTTGTCATTTTTAGAGTTGATGGGTTGCAGCCTTCCCTGAGCACAGTCAAGCCAGCACAGCTACTGAGGCCTGTGAAACACCAGATGGTTCTACTCAAATGAATCAAGTAAGACTCCCTCAAACTCAATTTTATGTTCCAGCTTTTCTCAGTTGTCACCTGGAAATACTCATGCTCTCTGATGCTAATGAAGTACCATAAAATATTTGCTTCCCTTTGTGGAGTGGGGCTTCCAATGCCCAACACAAATAGGCAGTCCTTTCTAGGGTGCTAATCCCAACTACGCCCCACCTTGACCACACACTCCCCCGCCTGGCACTTATGTAACTCCTTGGGGGTTTCAGTGAGAAGGAAGAGACAGAGGAAAGCAGAGTAAAAAGAAAAGCCTGGAGGGGTCCCAGACAAGTTCATACTCATTGAGAAAAGAGGACCTAAATAATAGAGTAGGAATGGACTTTGGAGACCATCTAGTTCACTGGTGAGTAAACTTCTTTACATGTGAGCCAATTCAGGAAACATGAAAATGCTTACAGAAGTGGCAGGAATGGATGTTTGCAACTTAATGAACATTTTTTATGCCACATTTCCTCATACCCTATAACTGTCCTCTTTATTCAGGTGGTGGATGGAACATGAAGCATGCATTGCCTCAAAGAAAAACTAACACAACAGGCTGAAGATAATAATTTTCAGCTTATGAATTTCAAAAGACTAGGCCTAGGCTTAACAACATAATATTGTATCAAACTAAGCATTTTACATGCATACTCTTATTTAATCCTCACAATAATCCTAATAGATGGTGTGATAGACAGAATAATGGCCCTCAGAGATATCCATACCTTAATCCCAAAACCTGTGAATATATTACCTTATATGGCAAAAGAAACTTTGCTGATGTGATTAAATTAAGGAGCTCGAGATGGGGAAATTAGCCTGTGTTATCCAAGTTATGTCTGATATAAGGCAAAAGAGTCCTTATAAGGCAGAAGAGCCAGCGTGAGAAAAAGAGATGTAATGACCGATGATGACCTCAGAGTGTGCATGAATGCTCGATTTGAAGATGCTCTGCTACTGGCTTTGGAGGGGGAGGAAGGAATCACAAGCCAAGGAATATGGGTGGCTTCTAGAAGCTGGAAAAGGCAAAGAAACAGATCCTCCTCTAGAGGCTTCAGAAGGAAGACAGTCTTGCCAACACTGAGGACTCTGTGACTTCCGGAACTGTAAGATACATTTGTTTTGTTTTAAGCCACCAGTTTTGTGGTAATTTATTAGAGCAGCAATAGAAAACTGGCTGGGCACCATGGCTCACACCTGTAATTGCAGCACTTTGGAAGACCAAGGCGGGCAGATCACCTGAGGTCAGGAGTTCAAAACCAGCCTGGCTAGTGAAACTCTGTCTCTACTAAACATACAAAAATTAGCTGGGCGTGGCAGCACACACCTGTAGTCCCAGCTACTTGGGAGGCTGAGGCAGGAGAATCACTTGAGCCCAGGTGCAGTGGAGGCTGCAGCGAGCTAAGCTCGTTGCACGGTACTCCAGCCTGGGCAACAGAGCCAGACTCCATTTCAAAAAAAAAAAACAAACAAAAACTAATACAGGTGGGTGCTATTATTAACCCCATTTTACATATGATGAAACTGAGGCACACTATATTATGCAGCTTTGCTATTGTCACAGGACATAAGAGTGGCAGCCTGAGTGATTACCCCCTACACTGCATTGCTCTGTCACATAAAACAAGAGATACAAAGGAATGAGTATGAAGGTTACTCTGGGGCGAAGAGGAGGAAAAGTCAGAAGCAAAGAGTTCTAGATGCAAATGGAGTCTGAGAAGAGGATCCAACAACCCCTCTTCCAACGCCAAGAAATAGGAAGGGGAGGGAGGGAACAGGAGAAATCTAAGGCAAATAGGTTCAGGGATTTAGGAGCAACGTGTGCCTATCTCAACATGTGCCTATGGTCTCCTTTCTCAAGGAGAAAGCAGTTGGTGACAGACCCTCTGGGGGCAGAAGCAGCTGCATAGTGTCTAGATTAGTGACCATGAGAGAGGTTTACTGAGTTTCCCTGTACTCCAAGGTGTCAGGGGAAGCTGCATATTTTCTTTTTGTACCCATAAGTGACATAGTTGTGGAAACAAAGAGCTATTGGACCCAAAGAGACCCTGTGGATGGGAACGAAGAATGACTCATAGGATCTTGCCTGGGCTGCTGGCCAAGGGCAGAATGGGAGGCTGCACCTCTTGGTGAATGCCAACCTGTGTAAACAATAAGCAAAAACCAGATGCTACCATCTGTACATGTGCACACAGAAAGGCACATCTTGACAAGTCAGCAAATCTTGGTTCTGTGACCTTAGATATAACCTTATGGAAGAGGTAAAATTATTGAGAAGTGAATGGATTGGCAGGGAAGACCCTGAATAACCAGATGTTAATTGAAAAGTCACTTGATTTGTAAACCTTCGGTTGCTCCTCATTGATCAAGTCCAAATCTTTCATTCTAAAGACTGAAGAAACTGAGACCTACCATTTTAAGTACCTTTAGAGTACAACCCTCAACAATTTTTAAATTATAGGATAGGGAATTAAGACCATGTCTTCTGATGCCACAGTGCTTTCTATTTCCTCCCTGGCCTTCTCACTCACTTACTCAATATTTGTTGAGAGACTACTGGTATCAAGTATTGGGAATTAAAAGGGGAATTCTGGCCGGGTGCTGTGATTCACACCTGCAATCCCAGCACTTTGGGAGGCTGAGGTGGGTGGATCACCTGAGGTCAGGAGTTTGAGACAAATCTGGCCAATATGGTGAAACCCCATCTCTACTAAAAATATAAAAATTAGTCAGACGTGGTGACACATGCCTGTAATCTCAGCTACTCGGGAGGCTGAAGCAGAAGAATCGCTTGAACTCCAGAGGCAGAGGTGGAAGTGAGCGAACTGGGATCACACAACTGCACTCCAGCCTGGGCAACAGAGTGAGACTCTGTCTCAACAAAATAATAATAATAATAATAATAATAATAACAGTAATAAAAGGATAATTCCTTCTTGGAGCGTCCACTCCTTTACCTTGGGGGTCTCCATGACTAAATATGATCCATTTGATCCTGAGAGCTGTTGCTACTACTGAGTAAACACAATCAACAAAGATGGGTCCCCAGCAGCACCCTCATTGCCCTCATAACTTGCACAGTACTTTCTTGAAGAGCATGGGTGGTCCCTTCAAGTCTGACCTACCCTCCTTACAAGCTGTTACCCTTAGCAGGTAGCCTCTGGCTTCTCTTCACAGCTTTTCATTTATAAATAATTATTTTCTTTTGAAAAAACATCGTTTACATGGTTTTAATGTAGGAGTAACTCTCACTCATTATAAGTTTAGAAAATGAAGATAATAATTTTTTTAAATTATCAATAATCTCATTACTATTAATAGAAATAACCACTATTAATAGTAATATTTTCTTCCTAGCCTTCAATATATACACAACTTCCAATTATTTAAAAATTGGAAATAATATTTAAATAATTTGTTCTAATTTTCACCTATTCTTTTGAATAGAAAAATATGATTATGTGGAACAAGATTCAAAGATGCATACAATCAAAGGTAAATTTTCCTCTCTACTCTATTTTGTGCAACCCAGTTCTCTCTCCAGAAGTAATCCTGTTACATCAGAGAAATAGAAAAAAATTTTTTTTCTATTTTTATGGAACCACAAAAGACCCAGAATAGCCAAAGCTATCCTAAGCAAAAATAACAAAACTAGAGGAATCACATTGTCTGACCTCAAATTATACTACACAGCTACAGTAACAAAAATAACATGGTAATGGCATAAAAACAGACACATAGAACAATCTGGTATGCAGTGGTGACATCATGGCTCACTGCAGCCTCAACCTCCCTGGCTCAAAGCCATTCCTCCTGCCTCAGCCTCTCAAGTAGCTAGGATACAGGCAAACGCCACCACGCTGGGCTAATTTTTGTTTGTTTTTGTAAAGACAGGGTTTTACCATGTTGCCCAGGCTGGTCTCAGACTCCTGGACCCAAACAATCCACCTATCTCTGCCTTCCAAAGTGTTGAGATTATAGGGGTGAACCACCACACTCAGCCACTCTTAAAGATTAATTATTTTGTTCCTATGGGCTGGTCTGTTCAACATACTGATCTCACCAATATGTTACTATTCAAAGACTTTTGCAGAAGAAGATATGTTACATGGACATAAATTATTATTTCTATCACTAAGTAATATAATTACTTATTTTTAAATTTAAAAAGGAAAATATTTTAAGCAATTTATTTTAAATCACAATAGTTCACCTAAATGATCAGACACAGGTGGGAAATTCTTAATATGCTGCCCAACTGGGCTGTCAGTGGACCAGGTAGGCTAAGCCTGCAGATCGTTTGTCTTTAACACTTGAAACAGGTTGGAAAGGGCAGAAATAGACAAGCATTAGCGTAAAGTTACCCCTCCTGTATGGTTGACTTGAGATGTGAACATGGGTTTTCTAATTTCAAGCTAAGGCTTTTCCCACTTCTTTCAAGATGTCAGATGTTGTGATATAATAAAAAGAGCACTGTACCTGATAGCTATATGATATTAGGCAAGACCCATAATCCTTCTGAATTGTTGTAAATATACATTTTGTAAATCTATTTTATTGCTGCCTAATAGGATTATTAGAATATTTCTCTTAAAAAGCTGTATTTAAAAAACAAAGCACAAGCCAGGCATGGTGACTCATGCCTATAATCCCAGCACTTTGGGAGGCTGAGGCAGGTGGATCACCTGAAGTCAGAAGTTAGAGACCAGGCTGGCCAACCTGGTGAGACCTCGTCTCTACTAAAAATACCAAAAGGTAATCATGTGTGGTGGCACATGCCTGTAATCCCAGCTACTTGGGAGGCTAAGTCAGGAGAATCAGTTGAACTTGGGAGTTGGAGGTTGCAGTGAGCCGAGATCAGGCCACTCCACTCCACCAGCCTGGACAACAGAGTAAGACTCTGTCTCAGAAACAAACAAACAAACAAACAAACAAAAAAACACAAATCACAGTGTCTGGTTCATAACTAGGCATAGGTGTTTTCTTGCTTCTTTTTCATACTATCTTCTTCCCTAATTGTCTACATGAAACCTCTTACTATCAATCATACCAAGTAGTTTTTTATCACTTGACTGCTTTACTCATTTCTTTTTTCTTTTTGTTGAGATTTCACTTCAGCTCCCACTCATCAGGTATAATCTGCTAAAATTTTTTTAACGTACTCAGGTTTTTATGCTCTATACATTGAAATGGAGAGGAAGAAATGGGACAAGAACTGTAGTGGGCTGAATGGCACCCAAAAAAGATATGTCCAGGCCTTAACACCTACAACTTGTAAAAATTTCCTTATTTGTAAAAAGGGTCTCTGCAGATGTAACTAAGCCAAGTATATCAAATAAGATCATTCTGAATTGTCTGAGTGGGCCCTAAATCCAATGACAAATGTCTTTATAAGAAACACACAGAGTAGAGACAGTGAGAGAAAAGGAGGGGCCACATGAAAATGGAGGCAGAGATTGGAGTTATGCTGCCACAAGGCAAGAAATACCTGGAGCCCCCAGAAGCTGTGGAATAGGCAAGAAGGTATTCCCCCTAGAATCTTCAAAAGGAGCACAGTTCTGCCAACACCTTGATATCAGGCCTCTGGCCTCTAGAACTATGAGAAAATACATTTCTATTGTTGTAATCCACCTAATTTGTGGTCATTTGTTACGGAAGCCACAGGAAACTAATATAGAAGCTAACATTTATTGGATCCTAGCACGCTTCTAGGAGCTTCAAACATGTTGGCTCATTTAGACCTCAGAAGCACCTGGTAAGGTAGGATTTAGATGCCTATTTTTAGATGAGAAACCTACTGTCATTTGGTTAATGAGTGGTAGAGCTGAGATTAAAACTAAATTAGTTTGATTATAAAGCTCATAGGAGCTATCTACTGTAATATGCTACTTGCCAAATAAATTATGTTTTTTTTTTGTTGTTGTTGTTTGTTTGAGACAGAGTCTTGCTCTGTCACCCAGGCTGGAGTCCAGTGGCACAATCTCAGCTCACTGCAACCTCTGCCTCCTAGGTTCAAGTGATTCCACTGCCTCGGCCTCCCAAGTAGCTGGGATTACACACATGCATCACCGTGCCCGGATAATTTTTGTATTTTTAGTAGAGATGGGGTATCATCATTTTGGCCAGGCTGGTTTTAAACTCCTAACCTCAGGTGATCCACCTGCCTCAACATACCAAAGTGCTGGGATTACAGGCAAGAGCCACCATGCCTGGCCAAACTATGGCTCTTTATAGAGATTGTGACATTGAAACAAACTCAAGGGATCTTCTTTTACCCATAAAGGTAAAATAATTTCACCATATAAATGCTCAATAATATTTACTGTCTGCTTGATATGGTCAGGAGGGTTTAAATAGTGGTTTAGTCTATTTTCTGTTGCTATAACAGAATGGTACAGACTGGATAATTTATAAAGAAAGGTTTATTTAGCTCATGGTTCTAGAGGCTGGGCTGATATCTGGTGATGGCCTTTCTGTACATCACATGGCAGATAGGCAGAAGGGCAAGACAGCACATGTGAGGGAGAGCCCCCTTTTATAACAAAGCCATTACTATGATAACCAACCTACTTCCATAATAGCATTAATCCATTTATGAAGGTGACACCCCCATGACCTAATCATGTCTTAAAGGCCCCACCTCTTAATACTGTTACAGTGGCAATTAGATTTCAAGATAAGTTTTGAAGAGGACATTCAAACCACAGCAAATAGGAAAAAAATAGCAATATCCCTAACAAGTATACCATGGAGTGCTATATTTCAATACTGGTATTTACATTTCTTTTTGGTCTTTATCTTTTCTTGTAGATGACTTTAGTCTTTTGTGTTTTCCTTTAGTAATCTATTCAATAAATATCTTTTTGAGTATCTATCATATGCCAAGTATTGTGCTAGATGACAATGAAAAATGAACATGATATTATTCCCTTCTTCAAGTTACTCCAAAAGTGAAATTAGTTACAACCTATGGGCAGTATAGGATAGGCAGTTAAAATACTTTTATCAGTGAGGCAAAATTGCTAAAACTTATATATCTTCTTTTCTATACTGCCACTCAAACACTAAAAACTCCCCACATTCATGTCAAACATAAATCTCTGTAAACTCAATTTTATACAATATGCTTGAGACAAGTTGGCAGTATGACATAAGTACATGTAGTTAATCATGACAACAATATGGAGAATGGATAAGAGTCAATACAGACCCATAGAACTTCTACATTTTTTCACAGTTTAGGATAGCTCAGATTATTGTGTGAATTCTCCAAACCTGGGAACAAGAGGCTCTGCAAAGAGTATCTAATTAAGCAAGGTGACCAGTGTCAAAAGACTAAACATCTCTATTACTTAAACCAGTTAAACATCACTGGTATTGAACACTTCTTGTGCCTGTTGGGAGATTG